GATATTAGCTATAAATCTATGGCAACACTAAACAGATAGTTGTGTTGAGCGGTAACTAATCTCATTAATTAATGGCATATAATATAATCACAAATCAATGTCTCATTCAATTTAATTAAACAAATACTATATATAATTAATTGCTTAAGAAATGAATATAATTCATACCGTATTCGCATTTTATGTCTAATTTGGCCAAAAAGTTACGTAAGACTCGGGGCGCGGGCTTCAGGTCACCCGAGTTGAGGGGCTGGCGATCGACGGGACAGTTGTTCTGCCGCTGAAGCCATTCATTGATACAATCGTTGCAAAATGTGTGCTCACAGTCGGGCGCCTGAACCGCTTCCTCCAGTACTGAACAACAGATCTGTTCACCAAAAACAACAACACATTCAAGACATTCAACACATGGATTGCATTAAGACATGGATTGTAACCAATCATCACTTACGGGACACTTGAGTTCGTCGTCCACTTCGGACTCAAATCGGGACAAATCGTAACCCATTTTTCACCACAAAAACCACAGTTTACTTGCGATCGACACAAACACAGACACAACACACAGATATCACTGATTGGGATGTGTTTTGTAGGAAGCGATTCAAGTGATTATTCGCAGACAAAACACAATCAAATGATTCATTCAATTAGAAAACAAAGTGTAAATTCAATACAAATTTAAATGTCTTTAAAGCGAAAGAAAATAAAAATATTAATAAAAATACAATTCAAACAATATGTTTGGCATTTGGTTTGGAAACGCTAATTAATATTAGAGTATTTGTTATGTTTGTTATGTAAATTGTGATTTAGGTTAGTGATAAACTTTGGTTTAATTTACTTTTCGTTTACTTTACATTTTTTCACAACTTAACTCAGAACTTTTGAATTCAACTCTTGTATTGATTTCCTCTGCTTTACAATGCAATTCACACATCAAACACACCCGTCATATACAACGTTACGCCATCGAGGGGTGGGTTAGTGTTGGCTATGGTTTGTAGACAAAGAGATTCTATGGGAAGGTATGAGAGAATAGGAGTTCGGGGGACAGAAATGTAGCACTTTTATAGCGCTGACGAAGGCTTTACAAATGGTTACAGAGTTTGTGTGGGGACTGTGTTTGCACTGTTTGTACTGGATTTGGGTGTTTGATGATAGAGTGATAGGCTGTGTATGCATTATATTGTACAGTACAGTGAAGCCCAGTTAGTGTACGCATAACTAGGCATTAGACTGTACTGTAGTCGGGGGGCGAAGGGAAATGAGGCCCAGCCGTGACTCTATGGGAGTAGAGTAGTCCAAATTGACTCAGGGTTAACTTTTGACTCAGGTTAACCCGGGTCAAAGTCAAATTTTTTTTTGACTCGTTGGGTTAAAAGTCAAATTTGTTTTTGACCCGGGTTAACCCGGGTTAACTTTTTGACCCGGAATAACCCCAATAGTAAGAGAATACCCTAAAATTTTTGCAAAATACCCTATAAATAACCCATATAATTACATTAGCCTGTCAAAAACGGCTAACCACTTGATCTTGACCTACTTTTTTGGGTGCATATGCACCGATTAAGAGATTAGATTGATTAAATTTCAATAAGATCATTAATTGTTCATATATAATAAATGTACAAAAATCAGAAACAATTAAAAATAAATATAATCTAGTCAATTCAATTGTATTTAAATTATAAACGATTAAATATAAATATAATATAGTTCTATAATGGGCAGCAATAAAAAATGCATTAAAGTTCATATATAACCAGACATTTTTTAAATTGAAATTTACACTGAAAAATTTTGAATTTTGAGTGTAAAAATTGTCCGTATTAGATATAGTTAATTCAATTGTATCAAAAGAAATAATTAATTATAAATATTATACATGATTATTACTATTGTTGCTATGACAACAATTACGTAATATGGTCAAAAGGTTAACCCGGGTTAACCCGGGTCAAAGTCAAAGTTAAAGATTTTTTTTACCCTGAGGGTCAAAAGTCAATTGGTTTTTTGACTTTTTGACCTTTGGACAACACTATATGGGAGTCGACTCTATGTGGGGGTCGGCACAGGAGGCGCTGTTTGTGTAACCCTTTTGATAGTTTGCAAAAGTAATTGATGTGAGAAATGGTTTATTAAATTGATATGAAAATCATTAATACATTGATATATGACCTCATATTGCAATCAATTCAAACGCAAACCGGTCTAATTGTAACCCTTTTGATAGTTTGCAAAAGTAATTGATGTGAGAAATGGTTTATTAAATTGATATGAAAAAGTAATTATGTAACTATATACTGGAGTATAACGTTAGTTAAGTTTGCGTTTGGCCAGATTTGGATTGCGAGTTACCAAAACTCGGTTACTAGTTTTTATAATACGTTACATAATTATGAAATGACTAAACGTAAATGATTAGACGATTTACTCGTACAGTAAATAGCATTACAATTACACTGGCATTACAGTGACATGTGCTCACACATACACTAAACATATTTATTTGTAAATTAAAACAAATATTTGTCACTAATCCTGTTGTCCTCCCAGACCTAAAAGTAGCAATTTTTTAAAATATTAATATTTGATGACATAATTATGGGATTAAAGTAACCAATCAATCAATTAGTTAATGTAGTGGTGACTGAGAATTAGTGCCAAGAATTAGACATAATTTGAAATAAATTCCGGGAATTAAGTTGTTTTTTGCCTACAAATGCCTTTTCTGAGACGATTAGCGAGAAAAATGAAACCATAAATTATTCACATCTTATCACTGTTTAAACACAATACAGATATTGACAATCATATCAATTGTTGCTGTATTAAAGTCTCCGATTTTAGACAATTGTTTTTAATATGAAAATTGTTTTGCTGTCAAGTCATTGAATTACTGCTACATTTAATTAATCAACGATTCAAATGTTTTCAAAAGCATATCTAATGACACGCTTAGCAGAATTGCTTATAAGTTTGTCGAACCGATACTCGTAATAGTGACCACAAATATGTCTATAATCGGCTCAATTAAAATTATTAATTCAAAACTATCCATAAACTACACAATAATATTTCTTAAGCGAATAACAACGGGATTGAATGAATGTAAATACTGTATAAATATGATGGACATAATATTTTGGATAATTATTGGTATAGTTTGATTTGTTGAGAATCGGGAATTTTATAACAGGATTGTTCGCGATTAGCATTCATAAAGAAATTAGTCAAATATATTTATATAATGCGTGGATTAACAAAATTGCAACAAATGGTCCCATAATGATAGCAAGGGTTGATTATATGGAATTCCCGGATACATAACAGGCAATTAAATTGATTGACGCAAATATTCTATGATTTTAGTTCTAGTAACGTTAGTTGTGACACAACTTGTGATACTGTACCCGGCTAATAATACGTGATTATTATTTGAAGGCAATATTTTTGAAACATTATTAACTATTATAGCGATATAAACATTACATTAATTTTCAATATACCCAAGGTACTTAATTAATATTTAACTCGAACTCACATTAATGCAACACTACAGTATCTGTCAATTACAAGTGTAATTATAAAATATAGTGTTACATAAGTGCCCCGATCGTTTTGATTAGCTTTATAAGAATTGTAGCTTAAAATAAAGATATTTCAAATTATTCTTATTTTCCAACATTTGTTGTATTTTTAAATAAAATTCCATAAAAAGTCTACTTCTATAATAAATAATCGAAAAATATGTTTAAGTAAACAAAGCTATTATTATAAATATTCATTTCATTTAATCAAATGCAATAAAACTACAGAAAAAGCCCAATAAATGCTTGATTTCACAACACATGAAATTACTGTTTTTTGTCTCTATTTTACATCACAAGTGTCTGATATCACGTAAACATGATTTTTCGTAGAAATACCTTAAATACAATTCGTCTCAAATTTAACCAGGATTTAAAATAAAATATTATTAATGATGTAAATATTTTGTGCATAAGTTTCCTGTTTTATAATAAATTTTAAAATAATTAAAATATTAATTATAATGTTAAAAATGTAATTCCCGGTTTAATTGACAACAACTGTGCAATAACTGAATGAGAAATTTACACCTAAATAATGACAGCTTCACAGCTGTAGTCATTGGAAATGAATTGATATCAAGTGATCGACAGGAAGTCTAAACCGGATATATTGTAACTTTTCTGTAACTCTAACCTAATATTAATGAAATCAATACTTAAAATATAAATATATTTTATTAAAATACTATAAAACAAGAAAACATTGATTTGNGATGATAACGAAGATGAAGGCGACGGCTCTCTGTTTGGCTCTTACAACAAGTCGTCAATGCATCCGCACTTACCGAACGTGGAAATGGTTAGACCCGCGCAAACACATCAGGAATTGGCCAAAGAAGAAGACAAAGCGAAGGTTAAGAGAGAGTATAGCGACGAAGAGAAGCGACACATTATGATGAGTGAAGAGTTCAAAAAGTTTATCGATCGAGCCGTTAGAATCACCGAAAGGGCCCTCTATTATAACGAACCCTCGGATATATTCATTGACTATACGGGCACTCGTGAGGAACTCGAAAGGTATGACTGATTCCTAATTAAATGACTGGTTTTTTGAGTGAAATCTAATTGTTGTGACATTGGTTTACAGTGAAGACAAGAGTGGAAATCGTTTAGTATTTAATCGTTGTTTTTACGACGAGCGGTGGTGTAAGAACCGGACCATCACTTCATTTGATTGGTCGACTCAATACCCGGAATTACTGGTGGCCTCTTATAACAACAATGAGGACAATCCTAACGAACCGGACGGTGTGTGCCTTATATGGAATATGAAGTTTAAAAAGTCGAGCCCTGAATACATATTCCACTGTCAGTCGCCGGTTATGTCCGTGTGTTTCGCCAAATTTCATCCCAATCTAATACTCGGCGGCACTTATTCCGGACAAATAGTGTTGTGGGACAACCGCTCCAATAAGCGGACGCCTGTCCAACGGAGTCCACTGTCGGCCTCAGCGCATACACACCCCGTTTATTGCATTCAAGTGGTCGGGACTCCGAACTCGCATAACGTGATCAGTGTGTCCACCGATGGAAAGCTTTGTTCGTGGAGTTTAGACATGTTATCACAACCTCAAGACACGATGGAATTGAGTCAACAGAAACAGTCGCGACCGGTGGCCGTCTCCTCCATGTCTTTCCCTTTCGGTGATTACAATAACTTTATAATTGGTAGCGAAGAGGGATCGGTGTATACGGCGTGTCGTCACGGGACCAAAGCTGGCATTTTGGATGTGTTTGAGGGACATCAGGGACCCGTCACTGGCGTCGACTGTCATTCCGCTCACTCGCAGATTGACTTTTCCCATCTATTTCTCACTTCATCTTTCGATTGGACACTAAAGTTATGGTCGACTAAAGAGAGTAAACCTTTGTATTCGTTTGAAGACAATTGTGATTATTTATATGATGTGCGATGGAGTCCAACACATCCCGCACTCTTTGCCAGTGTTGACGGAATGGGAAGAATAGACTTATGGAATCTGAATAACGACACAGAATTGCCCACCGCTTCCACTATTGTCGACGGGAATCCAGCCCTCAATCGCATCGTTTGGAACAATTCTGGGAATCAAGTGGTCGTCGGCGATGACATCGGAAAGATATGGGTTTATGATGTCGGAGAGGTATTTCACATTCTCTCTCTCTCTCTCTCTCTCTCTCTAACACCAAAAGTGATACATTGGGACGAAGGTATGAACGCCNACACATTCTCTCTCTCTCTCTCTCTCTCTCTCTCTCTCTCTCTCTCTCTCTCTCTCTCGATATTTGCATTATTATAACAAAATGTATTTCTTATAGCAATTATCGGCTCCAAAGGGTGACGAATGGACGCGATTTATGCATACATTGCAAGAACTGAAGAATAACGCCGAACCAGAAACTGGTGACTACGGCTCCGACACCGCATATTCAAGTTTGTCTTCGGCCGCATCCCTCTCTGCTTTCTCTTCACCTCCCGTTCGCTAATAACTTAAAACTAATTTATATTCAAATCAATGTTTTCTTGTTTTATAGTATTTTAATAAAATATATTTATATTTTAAGTATTGATTTCATTAATATTAGGTTAGAGTTACAGAAAAGTTACAATATATCCGGTTTAGACTTCCTGTCGACCACTTGATATCAATTCATTTCCAATGACTACAGCTGTGAAGCTGTCATTATTTAGGTGTAAATTTCTCATTCAATTATTGCACAGTTGTTGTAAATTAAACCGGGGAATTACATTTTTAACATTATAATTAATATTTATTATAAAACAGGAAACTTATGCACAAAATATTTACATCATCAATAATATTTTATTTTAAATCCTGGTTAAATTTGAGACGAATTGTATTTTAGGTATTTCTACGATAAATCATGTTTACGTGATATCAGACACTTGTGATGTAAAATAGAGACAAACAACAGTAATTTCATGTGTTGTGAAATCAAGCATTTATTGGGCTTTTTCTGTAGTTTTATTGCATTTGATTACATGAAATGAATATTTATAATAATAGCTTTGTTTACAATTCACTTAAACATATTTTTCGATTATTTATTATAGAAGTAGACTTTTTATGGAATTTTATTTAAAAATACAACAAATGTTGGAAAATAAGAATAATTTGAAAATATCTTTATTTTAAGCTACAATTCTTATAGGGCTAATCAAAACGATCGGGGCACTTATGTAACACTATATTTTATAATTACACTTGTAATTGACAGATACTGTAGTGTTGCATTAATGTGAGTTTGAGTTAAATATTAATTAAGTACCTTGGGTATATTGTAAATTAATGTAATGTTTATATCGCTATAATAGTTAATAATGTTTCAAAAATATTGCCTTCAAATAATAATCACGCATTATTAGCCGGGTATAGTATCACAAGTTGTGTCACAACTACTAGAACTAAAATCATAGAATATTTGCGTCAATCAATTTAATTGCCTGTTATGTATCCGGGAATTCCATATAATCAACCCTTGCTATCATTATGGGACCAATTGTTGCAATTTTGTCAATCCATGCATTATATCAATATATTTGACTAATTTCTTTATGAATGCTAATCGCGAACAATCCTGTTATAAAATTCCCGATTCTCAACAAATCAAACTATACCAATAATTATCCAAAGTATTAATGTCCATCATATTTATACAGTATTTACATTCATTCAATCCCGTTGTTATTCGCTTAAGAAATATGATTGTGTAGTTTATGGATAGTTTTGAATTAATAATTTTAATTTAGCCGATTATAGACATATTTGTGGTCACTATTAAGAGTATCGGTTCGACAAACTTATAAGCAATTGTGCTAAGCGTGTCATTAGATATGCTTTTGAAAACATTTGAATCGTTGATTAATTAAATGTAGCAGTAATTCAATGACTTGACAGCAAAACAATTTTCATATTAAAAACAATTGTCTAAAATTGGAGACTTTAATACAGCAACAATTGATATGATTGTCAATATCTGTATTGTGTTTAAACAGTGATAAGATGTGAATAATTTATGATTTCATTTTTCTCGCTAATCGTCTCAGAAAAGGCATTTGTAGGCAAAAAATAACTTAATTCCCGGAATTTATTTCAAATTATGTCTAATTCTTGGCACTAACTCTCAGTCACCACTATATTAACCAATTGATTGATTGGTTACTTTAATCCCATAATTATGTCATCAAATATTAATATTTTTAAAAATTGCTACTTTTTAGGACTGGGAAGACAACAGGATTAGTGACAAATATTTGTTTTAATTTACAGATAAATATGTTTAGTGTATGTGTGAGCACATGTCACTGTAATGCCAGTGTAATTGTAATGCTATTTACTGTACGAGTAAATCGTCTAATCATTTACGTTATCAGTAAATCAGTAAAGTATTAATACATTGCATAATATTTTTGATCATTGGCTCAAAACCATTGAGCGTTAGGTTTAGACCGGTTTGCGTTTGAATTGATTGCAATATGAGGTCATATATCAATGTATTAATGATTTTCATATCAATTTAATAAACCATTTCTCACATCAATTACTTTTGCAAACTATCAAAAGGGTTACACAAAAACAGCGCCTCCTGTGCCGACCCCCACATAGAGTCGACTCCCATATAGTGTCGACTCCCATAGAGTGACGGCTGGGCCTCATTTCCCTTCGCCCCCCGACTACAGTCTAATGCCTAGTTATGCGTACACTAACTGGGCTTCACTGTACAATACACTGTACACTGCACTGTACTGTACAATATAATGCATACACAGCCTATCACTCTATCATCAAACACCCAAATCCAGTACAAACAGTGCAAACATAGTCTCCACACAAACTCTGTAACAATTTGTAAAGCCTTCGTCAGCGCTATAAAAGCGCTACATTTCTGTCCCCCGAACTCTACTTCTCTCATACCTTCCCATAGAATCTCTTTGTCTACAAACCATAGCCAACACTAACCCACCCCTCGACGGCGTAACGTTGTATATGACGGGTGTGTTTGAAGTGTGAATTGCATTGTAAAGCAGAGGAAATCAATACAAGAGTTGAATTCAATTCAAGACCACAGAAAATCTCAAACCCTCGACATTACAACACAAATTTCGTCAATAATTAGTCAATTATGCGAATATATCGTATCTTTTATGACAACAACACACAACACATACCAATACATTATATGCATATCAAATGGTACCAAAACAATCACATAATAGACACCAATGGCTGTATTGTGTTAAATACAATGTAAATTATGTACCATTTGATATGCATATAATGTATTGGTATGTGTTGTGTGTTGTTGTCATAAAAGATACGATATATTCGCATAATTGACTAATTATTGACGAAATTTGTGTTGTAATGTCGAGGGTTTGAGATTTTCTGTGTTCAAGACTCAATTCAACACTTTTTTACATTTCATTTGCTTTTCATTTAATTTGGTTTCAAATAGTGATTGGATTTAGTGTTAAATGTATTGTTTGTATTGTTTATGAGATTATAATTAATCGCAAA